GTATCGGATAAAACCTAAATGATACCCATCCCTAGCGGACACACACACCAGTCCTCACAAGTTTGAAGCCTTTTTGAGGCTCAAAATGTGGTTTTAGTGTCAGGGGTACGATTAGGTCAGGTTTAGGGTCAGGGATTCATTTTTAATGGTTAAGGTTAGGGAAAGCATCATGTCAATAAAGGTCCTCACTAAGATAGCTGAACGTGTGTGTGTGTGTGTCTTACTGGAGCAGCCTTCAGGTGTGTCCGGCGACAGGTTCCAGTACAGAGGTTTGCAGGTGTCACAGGCCAGGCCCCCCACGTGGAGACGGCACTCACAGCGGCCCTGAGGGAACCAATCACAGCAAAGTTCAACCTGTTTCTCCTTACAAAGCTTATCAGTCGCTGTTATAGAGACGTCAGAGTGCAGGTGGAGGTTAGCCTCCTCTGCTCCACCCTCACAGCTTTACTGCAACCTCAACACACACACACACACACACACACACACACACACACACACCCTTTCACATCATCTGTGAGCGAGAAGCCAAACACAGGACTCACCAGAGGAGGCGCTATGGTGGTCTGAACAGAGCCGGCAGGATGGCAGCGTCCAGCTTTAAGGACAGAGAGAAGCCGTCACACACCAGCAAACACAGCACAGCACAGAAACAGCTTCAGTGGAGGCTACAATGATCTTCTTCCTCTGACAGTGGACTCTGTGCTCGTCCTGCTGGACCTCAGTGCAGCGCTCGATACGGTCGTAGGAAGGATTACTTCAAGGACCTCCTTAATCCCACTTCTGTAGAGGAGGCAGAGTCTAAGGACAAAGGCGACGACTTGTCCGTCACTGGGGGCGTGGCCACTGAGGCAGGCAAATAACTGCAGCGCCCGCGGGGGGTGAGGTTCGCCCTGAGAGCCTGAAGCCTCTGGATGTCGTCGGCCGTCCTGGCTGACACGCCTCGACAACGCTGCGTGGAGATCAGGGGCGGTGCCTCAACCGAGGTGTTGTTCCCATCTTTGGGAGGGTGGACAGGAGGGTG